TGCGAATAAGCTTACTTTTATTATTTTTCTCATAAAACGAACAACAAATGCTAGTATATAAGTAGTTACCAATATCGGTTTATTATGCTGCAGGTAATCTGCCATTTCCATGAATTGGTATTCAGTTCCCCTCAACCTGCATCCATATGTGGATCATGTACATCTACAGAACTGAAGCTTTCCTGCCGTGTTGCTATCCTTGCGTCCTATGCGACTGGTTTATCTATGGATTCTGCACGTAAGCATTGTCTGCGTGTGCACCATATTGGTGTCTTGGTCCAGCTTTCAGTTTGATTTGATTTGGTTTGGTTTGGTTTGATCATTGTTGCTCGATCCATCATCTGGTTGCTTAGATGTTGGTACAAGCTTTCAAGCAAATTAGAAATAAATAAGAATGGACGTTCGGATCATGTCTCATGAGCTTCCGAGTTCTCATGTTGCTGCCGTCGTACTCCTTCTCTGTGTGGTGTGGTGGTTTTTGTTTGTTGTGGTACAAATAGTCGGCCATGGACTGATTGTGTTGTAAGCATAAATTACAAGGTGTGCTGTTGTTTGCTATGGTATGAATCGACATTATTGACTGACTATACTTTGTGAGAATAAATGATGATTTTGTGTGTGCTAACATTTTCAGTCTGGTTGTAAATCTATGTCCAAGGTTCTTAATCTCTGAGAGACTTTCTACATGGAGTAGCACGCAACTTCTCATAGGAGAGGTTAATGCTTTCCTGCCCTGCCATAAACTGAGATTTGAGCCAGCCTTTGCTAAATTTGTTTGCATGGTGTAGAACAAGAATTTATCTGGTCAGAAACAATTTATTTATTTTGGCAAGAAAGATGGTGCATCAAAAATTGAAATCTGGACAGTCAAAATACAACGGGATGAGGCTATGGGACAGGTTGGTTATGAAGTACTCTCTCCGTCCCAAAATAAGTGTCGTTGACCTGGTACAACTTTGGTACAAAGTTATACTAGGAATCTCCCTCTATTGAGCGACTAAATCGACTGAGATTACAGAACCAGCTCTATCATACTACTACAGCTTAGCACGACCTCCTTGAAATTCTCATGTTCAGTAGAACATTCTTTTCTAGGTTTATATAGGATTCCATGAAGTTAAACCATGCAAAATCAAGTGCGCTACATAAAAATGAATTCTTAATCGACGAAATAGGGTTTCCCCGCTTTATATTATAAAGCAACGAACACTAAGCACAAGATAACTGCTGGGACGAACAACACATCAAGCCCAAAAGGAAAAAGAAGACAAAAATGCCAACAACGGCAGCTCGTCAAGTACGAATGGTCCTCCGCCGTTGCGGCCTCCATCTACATCCCACCACTCGCCATGGCACAAGATCGCCGCGAACCAAACAACACCTCTAAGAAGGAATGCGATGACAACGACGGTACTGCCCGGACAAGTCCTAGTGTTTCCCTCAGCACGCGGCGGGGAGCGGGGGATGGGTAGCACCGACGCCCTTCAGAAAGGAATGGCGGCACCCACCGGCATCACCACGTCGGAGCCGGAAGAACCGGTAGGGATTTCTCCCGCACCCCCAAACCCTGACACCCACTAGAACGGAGCGATCCCACCGTCTTGCCACCCGCAAGCACGCGCCACCACGGTCTTGGACCCATCTACGCCATCCCGCTACGGACACCACCACGAGGTCAAGAGCAAGAAGCGCCCAGAGGCACGGGCGGAAGCATCGGAGCCGAACGGGACGGGGACGCCTCCACCGCCGTCGCGCCGGAGGCCTTTGCCTCCAGCACCGACGCGGATTGCCAACCGGATGCCGCAAGAACGGTTCAGATTAGTCTATATCTCTTCATAAAAAAGGAATGATGGTCATATTTTAGAAACTATTCATCCGCCATATACGTTTTCCTAGCACAGCCGCCGTATACGTCGGCGGCGGCGTAGCGCGGTACCTTCTTGAAGGCGTCGTCGCGGCTCTCACCGGTCATCGTGTCGCTCCAGGGGAAACTCTGACCCCCGGGTCAGGCGGTGGCGGCGCGCTAGCGTCGTAACCTTCTTGGAGGCGCCGCCTTGGAGCTCATGGTTCGTCATATGCGGCTTCATCTCTTCGCGGTGGCGTGTTCACGGTGGAGGTCCCCGATTGCTCTTGTAGTGTTAGGGGTGATGTTGCTGCGCTCAGCGCCTATGTATCCCGCCTTGGGTGTGTGCGTGTGTTGTCGTGGGGGTGTGTTTGTACTTGGGCCGTTGTTGATCTGTGCTTTATATATAAAGCGGGGCGAAAGCCTTTTTCGGTACGTCTACACTATATACAGGCATTTTGTGGGGTGCACATCCCCTCCCGCGAGGTGAGCCAGCCCATCTATCTTTTTATTTTCTGATTTTATAAATAGCTAAAAAACTATAAGCAAAACAGAATTCAAACATGTGACTTCCTGGTTCAGAGTTCGACCTGATAACCAACCAGTCGCCATGAGTTGCAGTGATTACATACCTATTTCTCATTCTTTTCTTCTTTCTTCTTTTCTTTTTTCCTTCTTCCTTTTTTCTTGTTCCTTTTTTCTCATTTTCTCAAACGGTTTTTTTCAGATTTTATTTTAGTTTCTCCTCTTTTTTTTCTTTTTTTTCTCATTTTTCAAAGTGGTTTGTTCAGTTATTATTTTCCCTTTTCTTTTTATTTTTTATTTGTTTTTTTATTCCTTTATCTTTTGCAAATTTGTGCACTTTTCTCAATTTTCCTTTTTAAAGAATAAATTAACTATTTTTAAATTTGTGAATGTGTTTTTCAAATTGATGAAAAATTCAAATCCAAGAACCTTTTTCAAAATTCATGAATTTTTTCAACATTGCTGAAATTTGTTTCCAAATGGATCAACTTTTTTCAATATAAATGAAACTTTTTTCAAAATGAATATATATTTTCAAAGTCGATGACCTATTTTTTCGAAATTGATGTACTTTTTTCTAAATTGATAAACCTTTTTTTCAAATCGTTGAACTTTTTTCCCCACATTCCATAAAAAAAAATCTCAATTCATGATATTTTTCAATTTGTGAACATTTTGCATATCCGTGAACATTTTTTCATATCCATGAACTTTTCCAAAGAGAAGAACCATTTTTTCAAAGATAACGGTCAAAGGTCAAACATGTCGATGGTCAACTTATCGCCCAATCAACCATGAAGAAGTTTTTTTTTTCTAGTCGAACCACGAAGAAGTTATCAAGCATATGATGTTGCGTGTTGGCAAGCAACAGCTGACTGCTGGTGTATTTGGGCCAGCCCATGAAAGGTGGCGTGGGAGTGCTGCGTCCTCTAACAAAAAAAAACTAGCACAACAAGTGCTGACTAGAAGGTGTGTATAGAGAGTAGCATCACGCAAACTAAAGCACACACCACTACGTCCTGGCCCATTTTTTTTCTTTTTTTAACCTCTGAAAAATAGGTGCATGAATTAGGATTTGAACTATGGACCTCTTGGATTACTTCCGTGCGCTATAATCAAGTAGAACAGCTCACTTGTTGTGTCTAATTACTTTTTCTAATTCTTTTTTATTGTGCATCTTCTCAGTCTGGTTTTCTTCTTTTGGTTTTGTTTGCTTTTTTTCTTAGTTTTTTCTGTTTTTTGTTTTTCTTTATTTCTTCTTATTTTTCTCTTTTCTTTTTCATTTGCCTAAATTTGTAAATATTTTCTTAAAATTGTGAACTTTTCTCAAATTCATAAACTTTTTGAATCCGTGAATTGTTTTCAAATGAATGAACTTTATTTGATCATATTTATGAAAGGTTTTAAAATCGATGAACTTTTTTTAAGTTTGACCTTTTTGTCAAATTCATTAACTTTTTTTGACAAATCCGGGAACTTTTTTTAAGTTGTGACCTTTCTTGTCACATTCATGTAATTTTTTCAAATCAATAAATGTTTCTAACTTGTGAACTTTTCTTTAATCTCGGGGTGGGTGAAATTGAAAACTTGGTGACCATTCGATTTATTTTAAATTT